GAGAGAGAGAGAGAGAGAGAGAGAGAGAGAGAGAGAGAGAGAGAGAGAGAGAGAGAGAGAGAGAGAGAGAGAGAGAGAGAGAGATGCTGGACATTCTGCCAAGGGGAATGACCATGTAGACCAGAACTTCCAGAAGAGAGATAGGGTTACCATCTTCTCCTGGATGGAAGAAAGATAGGGATACCATCTTTACCCCCGCACACAATGCCACAGGAGGATGCAACGTAGAGGGCGGCGTGGACAGGCAGCTTGCATATTTTCCCCTTTGTTATAGGGTGGCGACGTGTCTGGGAAATGGTGGCCGACATGTAGGTTTGGAGTTGGGTTTCCCGTCACTTGTCAATCGACAGAGAACATCACCTTTTTGCTGTTTTTTTTTTTTTTTTTTTTTTTTTTTTGCGAGTGGACCACGGACCAGATATTGGGTCTCGCTCCACTACTCTAGACTCAATAAAAAATCTAGAGTGAATTATCGCTCCACTACTCTAGACTAGGAACCTCGAATTTTCCTTCTAGAGTAGTCAGAATTTACTCAAGAAATTGTCTAGAGTGTCGCTCCACTTACTCAAGAACTGAGCCCTGTCAAATCGCTTTCTAGAGTTGTCAGGGGCACCGGCGACTGCGCACTCCACACCGATCTAGAGTGCCCGCCTGCAGCGGCCGTTTATCTCAAGAGTGGTCAGTGGTTCCCTTGCCGTGGCCTTGAATTCCGTGAGTGTGTCGGGGTGTCTGGGCCGACAAGAGTCTGCGGCGTTGTCGTTAGTACTCAAGTGAGTGCGTCGGGGTGTCTGGGCCGACAAGAAAACGGCCCACCCGGTCAATAGTGGAAATATTTCTTTTCTTGAGCACGGCCGTCTCGGGTGAGTGGAGCGATCACAGTAAATTCACGCTACTCTAGACACTGACAACTCTAGATCTACTCTAGAAATTTTTCTTGAGTCTAGAGTAGTGGAGCGAGACCCATTAAACTGATCAGAATAGATACAGTACACTTGATCTATTTTTAGCCAAAAGGCCGAGAAAGGTATACCTTGGTTTGTTTCAAAACCGCCAGTACACGGCCCCAGCCTTGCTGAAAATGTTTCGTCGCCTGGTTCGAAAACGTCGGCACTGACGCACAAGCGGCCGGCGTTGCATTTCAGCCTCTGACAGGGGCCGCAGGGGCCGCAGCTGATGTGAGGCGTGTACTGGTGGGGGCTTTAATATGCTACATTCTCTCTCCTTTTTCTCTTTTGGGGGCAAGGGGAGGGGCGGGGTTGGAAGCGGGGTTGGAATTGAAAAATAAATAGAAGGCCTGGTCAAGCTTGCGAATGCAAGAACTTCCAAGCAGTGGCCCAGCTGGAAGTTCACCGCTCAAGTGCATGATCTGCCGATTCTGCACCTAGACGTGGACATGCCCAGATGCATAGATTGGATCACCACAGTAACCTGCTAGGGGAGAATGCTCGTATCATCCCCACTAGCCAGGAAGCCCGGTTAAAAAAAAAAGAAAAGAAAAAAAAAAAAACTGAATTACCTGGGACTGCTCAATTCAATGATGATATCTTTTAAGCCAAAAAAAAAAAAGAATCATTCTGAATTACCTGGGACCGGTCAGTTTATGATGATATCTTAAGGTCTTCACCCTTCCAAAAAAAAAAAAAAAAAAGCCTCCAAAACTACCTGCAGCCAAAGGGGCACTATGCAGATCTCAGTGAAGTTGCTGTTGTACCCTCGACGAAGTCGTCAAGTTTTCTCCCGTTTGTGAATCGCATGTGGTTGGTTATCCTTTTTATGATATGGATCAAAAGTTCGAAACCCGTGGACTGCAGCCAAAGATATATCTATTTAGTATTTAGCTGCAGTCTAACAAGCGGGTCATGAAATGGGATGGGTTACCCAGCGGGCGATCTATGAACCCATAACGCTGCCATTTCATAAAGCGCCACTTCGTAACTCATGATGCAAAGTTTAAAACTCGTGGTTAAGTAAGGGGCGGTTTATGAACCCATTACATATAACAAAGGGGCGGTCTATGAACCGAGCACGATGGTAAACCCACTACATGACTCGCTCCATCGCAAGAGGAGAAGCGTTCTGTCGATCTGTCTACCGGTGCATCTGTACATCTGTCTGTCCATGTGACCATCTGTCCACACCATACTTGCAAGCGGACGGACCGGACGAGCGTCCGGTCCGGTCCGCTTTGCCGCGTGCGGCACCTTCCCCCCGGACCAGACGGACCCGGACCGGACCGGACCGGACGGGGCCATTTGTTTTTTTGGGGGGGTGGGTGGGGGGTAACTGGTCGTCGGGTGCACATTCGTCCGCCGCGCGGGTCCGGTCCGGCGGTCCGCCGCACGTGCGGAACCGCGCGGACGGCGTCCGCTTGCAAGTATGGTCCACACACACTAGAAGGACGGACAGACAGATGGACAGAAGATTTGTAGACCATCCCTTCTAGTGTGTATGGCCAGATCTGTCTGTCCATCCGACAGTCTGTCCACACACACTAGAAGGGACACAAAGAAGAAGAAGAGGAGGGCAGACAGGATGGAGGGTGGATGCATGAATGGACAGCCTCTAAGTGACAGAAAGAGACATGATAGAGGGATAGAGGGACAGGATGGAGAAAAGACATGGACAGAGGGGCGGATGGAAGCAAACTGACTGATAGATAGAGAGGGTGGGTGTATGTATGGACAGACTCTAAGAAGGCACACAAAGAAGCAGGCAGACAGACAGACAGACAGGCGTACCTCCTCTGATGGCACATCAAGATGATCAAGCAGTATGCTCACACCAACACCTTTGGATCCACCCAGCGGCAGAATCTCGAGCATATCGGGAACGGCCTGCGTTATGGACGCCCTTCCTGCCACAGCTGATGTCCAATGAGGTCTTAAGAAACTGGAAACGGTCTGCTCAGTCTCGTAAAAAAGTAGTTTCTGCAGTCGATCGGAGCTTCCACACACACACACACACACACACACACACACACACACATACACACACACACACACACACACACAAACACAAACACAAACACACACACAAACAAACAAAAAAAGGAAGATATTAGACATGATGCAGATAATAAAGTATGGGTCTTAAGAAACCATAAATGGTCTGCTGACTCTGCTGAGTTTCATCAAACAGTACTTTCTGCATGCAATTGTAGTTTCCACACACACACACACACACACACACACACACACACACACACACACACACACACACACAAAGAAGGAAAAAAAAAAAAAAAAGACATTAGAATTCAGAAAAGATCCAGATATTAGAGGTTGGAAATGATTCAGGACATCCGTTAAAATTGGAACGATACAGAGAAGATTAGCATGATCGAGAAATGGTCCAAAAAAAGAAACAAACAAAAAAAAAAGTTGGAAATGACAGTCCTTCGGGACATCGGTTAAAATTGGAGCGATACAGAGAAAGAGAAGATCAGCATGGCCCCTGCGCAAGGATGACACACACAAATCGAGAAATGGTCCAAAAAAAACAGAAAAAAAAAGAAGAAGTTAGAAATGACGGGGGAATGCATATTATGCATAATTATGGCAATAATATGCAATGAAACACGCATAGCCAAACTAAGCCAATGCCATTTATTAAATTTTATATTTAATAATTTTAATCTGATTGTAAGGACCTGCCAAAACCCAGACTGAGGACACAGCTGATTTTTTTGTTTTGCCGCTGGACTGTATGCCTTGCTGCTGAGATTCCTAAACGTCCAGCGGATCACACACAGACAACTGGTCAAACGCACAAACACGCACACACAGCTGATTTCTTTTTTGCTGAGTTTTCTAAGTCTGTGTGTGTGTGTGTGTGTGTGTGTGTGTGTGTGGTTGCTGATCCGTGTGCCTGTCTGGGTGCTTGTCGGCCTGAGTGTGTGTGTGGCCCGCCACGACACTTGTTTGTTTGGAAGGTGCACGCGGCTGGGAGGTGCCTGTGGCTGTGACTTTGGGGGTTGCAGGGGGGCAAAACACTCAAGTTACCGAAGTGGGTAGCTTAGGGCACACTCAAGTAGCGAAGTGTCGGTACCAGTAGCACTCGAGTAGCGGTAGGCAGAGCAGAAGAAGACAAAAAGCATACCTTTAGGGGGGAAGAGGTCCGGTAGTGTAGAGTCTAGGGCCTGTAGCAGTAGATATCACGTCTGCAATGATGTTTCCCTCCGAAAGGGAGGACATACCGGTTGCTTGGAGGCCGTGCGGCCTAGGAAGTCACCGTCCAAGAGGCTGGTTGGCCGCTATATCTCCAGGAGCAGCGAGTTGCGAGCTGCTTTGCTCCTCCTCATTTGCTGCGTGCAAGTTTGGGTGTCAAGCTGCTGGAGCGCCTGGTGAGGAGCGCCTGGCCATCCACCTTGGCTATGGTGGACCGGTTCAGGTAGGAGGAGGAGGAAGAAGGGGACTGGCAAGGAGGGCGGCCAGAGGTACTTACCTGGCTATGGTGGACGCTATCTTCATCTGCTTGGTAGGTGCTGCATCTGGAAGGCCCCCGTTACGGTAGCACTGCTGCATCAAGAAGAATTCAAGGCAGAGTCAGGCACGGCGGCCTGAAGAGTGGAGGAGATAGCTGCTTTTGCGTTGTCTGTTGAACACCGGAGCAGGGCCCCTAGTAGTCCGCCATAGCCATTGCCTGTCGGAAGTGGAGGCAGGAGGCCGCCATGGCTATGGTGCACCTCTTGTTGTGCTGGCAGTAGAAAAGGGATTCGGACATAGATTCTGGTTCAGCCATTCATTGTTATTGTTATTATTATTATTATTATTATTATTATTATTATTATTATTATTGTTGTTGTTGTTGTTGTTGGGCCCCTAGTAGGCCGCCATAGTCATTGCCTGTTGGAAGTGGAGGGAGGAGGCGGCCATGGCTACGGTGGACCTCTTGTTCCGCTGGCAGTAGAAGAGGGACTCAGACATAGATTCTGGTTCAGCCATTCATTATGATTATGATTATGATTATGATTATTATTTTATTATTATTATTGCTATTATTATTGTTGTTGTTGTTGTTGTTGTTGTTGTTGTTGTTGTTGTTGTTGAATAAGAGAGGGGGAGATAATGAGGAGGAGACTGGTTAGCGGAGAGAAGGGGGATTTGTCATTGGTCTTTTGCGGGTGTAGTACCCGGTGTACATTTTCTCCTCCTTCTTTCTCTCTTCTTCTCTCTCTTTTCTTCTTCTTTCGCTCTCTCTCCTCTCAAGTTCATTCATTTCTGTTTGCAATTGGATGGCATTTTATTTCCCTGTGTATTTGCACTTCGGAATTGCCCAGGATCGTAACATTATTAACAATTTAAGGCCCCCAAGCGCCAAAGTCCTACTGGTGCTTGAGGTGAACAAGCAGAGTCAGTAGGGACTGTGGGGCCTTAAATTGCTAATGAAGTTAAATAAAAACTGGCACTGGCTGCGAGGGATCCATTACGGCGGGCTGCGGGGGATTGTTCAAAGAGTCAAAGATTGAGAAAAGCACACACAAGAGTGATGGATCCATCACACCGCCGAGCAAAATGATGATTGACAGAGCACAAAGTAAAACACAGAGAAAAGTAGAAAGAGCGAGCTGTTCCCCCCCCCCCCTCCCTCCCCCCTCCTCTCGAATAAAAAAAAGCACTTGCATCACTCCAGAGTCCAAACTCCACAGTGCACATTGCCAGATACCCCTGCCTGTGGGGACCACACGCGGTCATTTGATTTTCCTGTCCATTTCCTCCGATTTTGACTCAAGAAGTGCGGCCGGGATTCCGACCTATGACTTTCTGTACCCCCCATAAACAGATGTGCTAGCAGACTGCGCTAACTAACAAGGCACGAGGGAAACCAAACACAAGAAGCAGGGCATGATCACACCCCAAAAAATTGCAAAAAAATTATGAAAGTTAATGAAACTGAATTGCATTCAGATTGGAGTCCAGATTCATTCACAATGAAACTCATTTGCAATCAGCATTTGAAGTTTGAATCTTCTTTTTTCGTTTTTCCTTTTTTTCTTTTTTTCTTTTTTTCTTTTTTTCTTTTTTTCTTTTTTTCTTTTTTTCTTTTGGGTAATAATTTGGAGTCTTTTGGACCATTTCTCGATTTATGCGTGTCATCCGTGAAAGCGCAAGGGCCATGCTAACCTTCTTTCTCTGTTTGGTTCCAATTTTGACGGATGTACCGAAGAACGGGTTTTGAAATTTGAATCAGATTGCCTTGCAATCCGACTTGCAAATGCGGCACCCATACATGTTAAATACGACAGAGCACCTGTAGGTTGCTCGCCATAGGTGCTGAATAGGACTTTTTTAAAAATATTATAGAATCTGGGAGGAGAAAAACAAAGACAATTATTATTACAGTAATATTACTATTATTAGTATTTTGTTTTTTTTAACTACTTTATTACTTCTTGAAAAAAAAACTTAAAAAAAGGCACTTCTTCAGCAACCTTCGCCATGACTCACCTGAATCCCAAACTTTGTCACCAGCTCTTCCACATCAGGTACGATTTCTGCCTGCAGGGATTGAAATATTTGAAACATGGATCAGACGTTTTCAGAACATTTTTTATTTATATTAAATTCTTAAATTTTCAAATTTGTCAAAATTAAAAATCTCAAAAAACTATAAAAAATTGAAATAAAAAACAAAAAATAAAAAGTAAAAAATCTCAGGAATTCAGAAATTCATACCCATGCCATCAGTCGTGTGGCATGGGACTCTGTTGTTCAGCCCAAGGTCGGAGGGGGGCTTGGAATAGTGGACCCTCCCACACAATTTCAGGCCTTGAGCGTCCACTGGATTCAACATATTATTTTCAAAACCTCCTCCCCCTGGGTTCCCCTGGCACTGACACAAATTGCGGCCCGGCCCCGGAAACCCCACCAGAAACTGACCCTCTAATATGGCTCGAGGACAGATACTGGAGACTCTCCAGAAAATACTCGAATGGTGACCCAGCAGAGGAACATTGGATACGTCTCCAGCGCATGTGGAGGAAGCTCCCACTCCCCGACCGCCCCGCCCCGGACAGATGGGAAGAGATAATCAGGCAACCACTGTTCGGCAGCTCGGACTCCCCATGGAAACTTTGGGTGAAACATGGGGTACTCAGGGTGGGGGACCTTTGGGATGGGGAAAGCGGAGAATGGGAAAGTGCAGCAAGAATGAAAAGATGCCTGCGCTACTGCCACTCACTCGAGTCCACAATGGAAGAACTCATTGAAATTTTCCCCATCCAATGGTACACTAGGCTTAAGAAAGGTCCAACGTTGGAAGAAGACGATTGGGTGGGGCTACCTGGCCACAAATCACAAATAGGCCGGGTACACATAGTGGATCAGGCACAAGTCCTAATTGAATGCTACGGTATCACAGAAACAGGACGGCTGCAAGAGAGCAGACAACCTTTCATCTGGAAATGAAAATCAGAGGTCTATCGCATCCGGGTGATCGAAGAGGGGAAAGGTTGGAGAGCGTACCGTCCAATGAGCCCAATTGGGAACCTCCCCCTTGATCCCCAAGAATGGCGATGGTCGTGGAAAGGCAGGGGAGGGCGGGGACGGGGGGAGGAAAGAACGGTCCATCTAGCCACCCTAAAAACGAAGTCCGTCTATCGAATGCTCAGACCCAAGCGTGGGCTAAAAGACGTGGTGGCAGACAGATGGCAGCGCCATCCAAATGTAGATAGAAGCAAACTCAAACCTATCCAATGGTTCAGCGAGTATCAGAAAAGGCCGGCGAAAATCTCCGCTCTTCAATGGCAAATCACTCATCGCTGCCTACCGACCAATGACTGGCTGATCGATCATACACAGCTCGAACAGCAAGGAAGGGCGCTTCCCTGGTGCCGGGGTTGCCGCCAAAACTTCCCCGGAAAAAAGCGCCCTGAGACGATTGAGCACATTTTCCTACAATGCCCTGCAGCGGTCTTGTTGTGGAGATGGTGGGATAGGATCTGGCGGCACATCGTTCCAGGCTCATTATGGCCTTGGGACTGGAGGGCAATCCTGCTAGGACACTACCCCCTTTTTTCGCGACAACGCCTTTGTAGCAAATATGTACTCTCTGGGCAGGCGTACTATCCTATGGGCCATACGGTGGCGAAGATGCATCCTGGAATTAGAGGGGGCCAGGGTGGAAGAGGGGGAAGTCACAGAACAGATACGGCTACTCTTCCAGCATGAGATCGCGGCACAATGGCAGAGAGTTAAGGAAAATCTGAGTCAGATGCACAGCAGGGGTGACATTAAAAACATTATCTCCCGCCGACTCCCGGTTCTGTGAAAGCTGGCTGGGGGAGAGGGAGGGCTGGGTCGCGAAGGTGAGTTGGACAGGAGACAGGTTGGACCAGCAGAACGAAGGACATGGAGAGGGACAAGAGGAAGACCTGGAAAGAGACTATCAGCTTCACTTCAAGGACTGGACAAAGGTGGATCCCAGCGAGCAGTTGAGACCCGCACAGGATTTCGGTGATCCCTTTCCCCCCCACCCGCTGGCCCTGGAGGAATATCTGGGGAATTAGAGTCATCTAACTAGGTGCCTTGTAGAGGAATATAGTAGGATTCAGCATGTTTTCAGCTGTTTGGTAGCTCACTTCAGCCTTTTCAGCCTTTTTTGTTGTTTCAGCCTTTTTCAACATACTCTACTGCAGAAGGCAAAGACACAATAGGCGCCATGAGGATAGTAGGTGGATGGCAGAGGCTAGGGGATGGGAGGAGACTCCACCGGTGCCCCCTGGTGTTTCCCTCCCAATATCCGATCCTGCTGCAGGATAGGTATGGAACAATAGATTGAATTTAGGACGCTGGACCCGGTTTCCAGCACAATGGCGCCACCTTCAAGATGGGTTGTTCTGTAAAGATGTATTTGGGGACGCTGACCCCGTTTCCAGCAGGTGTTGCTCCCCACCAATAGATGGAGCGGCCCGCCAGGCAAAACCTCAATCCCGGTGGTTCTCTTACCACCACCAGGATAGAGGCCTTGTACAAGGACCTTCAAAAAAAAAAAAAAAAAAAAAAAAAAATCAAAATTTCCAAAACATTAACCAACTTGCCTGGGTCGGTACACCCCAGAACTGCACTGGAAATTGAAATACCGACCCGAGTTCGAACTGCACTGGAAGCCGAATCAGCAGATGCATGAAATATTACAATTATCTAGCGCTGGCCAGTTTCATGAAGATATCTCGTGGCAATCAGCAGATGCATGAAATGGTAAAACAAAAAAAAAAAAAAAACAAAAAAAAAAATCCACAGATGAAGGAAGTGGAACTCTGCAGCCTTACATTTCTTGCAGTATCTGTCAACAGGACTTGCCGGACGATCTTCCAATCCGTACAATCGGGACTGATCTTTACGGCCAGTATCTTCCAAGTCCCTATAGCTAGTGTATCTCCCAATCCGTGCAATTGGGACCGATCTGTACAGCCAGTATTGTGCATTCTCTATACCTGGTGTCTTCCTATCCGCAGAAAAAAAGGGGGGGGGCATAAAATTTGACCCGCAAACCCTGATTTAAGTTTTGGACCCGTCACCCAAGATCTGAAAAGTGGGGGTCCCTGCTAACCATCGGTGCAATCCCAAGGTCAGGATCTTCTATCCGTACCATCGGGATCGATTTCCACGGCCGGTATCTCCCAATTTGCACAATCGGGATCGATCTGTGCGGCCAGTATTTTCCATTCTCTACGGCCGGCCGGCAGTTTCCAATCTCAAGGCCAGGATCTTCCGATCCGTACAATCGGGACTCTGATCGGTACAGACAGTATCTTCCAATCTATATGACGGGCGGTACCTTCCGATCAGTGCAAGCGCGATAAACCTGTACCCTGTACGGCCGGCATCTGCACATCTCTGCAGGTGGGAGCTCGCCCCAGATGACTGGGCGAAAGCACATTACCCCCATGTCTCCCTCATCAACTAAAATCTGCCTCCCTGCTCATCCACTAGAATCCCCCTGCCTCGCTCATCCACTAGAATCCCCCTGTCTCTCTCATCCACTAGAACCCCCCTCTCTCTCAACAAGAATCCCCCTGTCCTGACTGACTTTCCTCATCATCTGGAAACCTCTTTCTCCCTGTCTCTCTCGCCACCTAGAACCTCCCCGTCCTAGCCTCCTTGTGAAGCGGGGGAACCTTTTGCAGTGATGAAATGTCTCTGTGATCATCTAGAATCCCCCGGCCTGCCGTCTTCAGTCGAATAGAACGCCTGGTCATTATTCCCGTATCTAGACTGAAAGCTGCAACAAATACAGCAATTATGACCGCCAGGCGTTCTATTCAGCTGAAGAAGATACTCTCCTAACCGACGGGGACCCTCCCCTGTCACTCAAAACTAGAATCCCCCCATCCTAGTGTCCTCATCAACTGGGAGCAACCCCCCGCCCTTTTTTTTTTTTTTTTTTTTTTTTTTTTTCAAGAAGGCGCAAGCAGATTCAGAAAACTTCCAATGCATGAGTGGCGGATGGTGGGAAAGTACGTTTCACTCCATGGAGTTTCTCTATCGTATGCCTCTCGAAGTCAAAAGTACGTTTCACTCCATGGAGTTTCTGTATCGTATGCCTCTCGAAGTTGACTCCCACATCCAAACGAAAGTCAAAAGGATTATATATAAAAAAAGAACCTTACCTTGGGCTCATAATAGACCGTATGCAGAGCATCCACCAGCGGATGGTCGAACAGGGTCAAACATTGGTCCCCAGCAAAAGCAACCAATGGCGTCTTGTGCTTCGCTGAGAAATTAAATGCCTGCATTTCAAACAGGCCAGCTACTCAGAAACAGAAGCAGAAACAACACCCTATGGCGTCCCGCGAATGATCAAATATCAGAGTTATGAAAAAAAAAAAAAAA